AAATGTGATGATCCTAATAAGTTACAAAGTTCACGGGAATTAATTTTTCTGAACTTGTTGTCCAATACATAGAGGACACATCAACCATGACCTTGATTACCATTAGGACTTCATCCAAGTTATCAGGACCTCGTTGAAAATGATGCATATGCATTGAATGGACACATCAAGTTCTGGCTATAAAAGGAGGATATTAGCAATCGTTCATTATCAACATCTCAAAATCTGTCTAAAATGGCACCTCGTAAACCGATCACCAGAGATGCAACAAAGAGAATCACAGAGAAGGCTCGTCTTGTGCGAGAAGAACAAGGTGATCTATATCCTGGAAATAGCATGCGAGCTCCATTGGGCAAATTCTAATACTCAGACCTCGGGCACTATGATGGATTCATCACATATGAATCTGAAGAAGAACCTTCAAAGGCAGATCTGAAAGAAGAACTTCATCTTATCGTCAGAAAGGGATTTCTATCTGAACGATCCTGGAATGATCCCGACATGGACAAGGATCTTCGTAGTTTCCTCAGAACATATGACTTCAAAACCGAACTCGTCGGATATCCAGAGGTAGACCCTTTTGCTAAAACAGAATCCTCTGTTGCCTCATCTCGCCCTGACTATTCAACACTCAATAAGAAAACCAGAAAAGATGAGGGGGAACCTAGTAAGGCGAAGAAAGGAAAAGAGAAGAAGTAGAGCTTTCTCGAAACATATTAAGATGTATTGTGTGTCTTTCTTCGTCTTAGAATAAAATGTGGTTTATTATGTTTCAATTCTTTGCTCACAGAGAGATAAATCTTTATTTGATTTATTTTATCTTGTTGAGAATCAAATCATAGCTGATGCAGAAGCCCCTATGAAATCTTGTGACTGTTACATTTTCTTCGTGGTCATCATTAAATTATGTGCTAATGGTCAAAGCCATAATAAATGGTTTGAAGAATAACGTAAAGATATTGAATGGTCATTCAATGCTCACAATACTCAATGTTAAACATCAGCTATAAAAGGATGTGAATTGTGAACACAAATCTCACAAAAACGCATTTCTCTTCTAAAAACTCAAAAATAGCTTGATTATGGCATCTCGAAGGCCAGTCACACGTCTGCAAACTAAACAGCAGAAAGAAGCTGCCCAAAAGCTAAGAGAGGAACAAGGAGATCTCTACCCCGGAAACAGCGAATTTGCTCCCCTAGATCTCTCCTCAGATGATGATCAGCCTGAAAAAGATGTTGCATCTCTCACCCCTGAAGATGGAGAGAACCCCATTGCTGATCTTCATGAAGCTCCACCATCAATTGAGGGAGGACGAGACTTTCCCACTGCTGAAGATTGGAAAAATCATCTTGCTAACCGTGACTATCTCATGTATCTAAGCACTAACGAATCTGACACTGTTAGTGAAACAAGGCCAGCACCTACTTCTTCTGGATCTAAGACAGTGAAGACCGCGAAATGGTTTCGCAAGGAGTTAGGCAAAATGATGTCAATGAGAAATGTGGAGGATAAGGACGTGAAGGGAAAAGCAAAGAAATAACTTTCTCTTGTTTAAATGTTTTTCCTATGTACTCTCATCTGATGTTACTCTCTAATCATTATCAATAAATGTCCTCCCCTTGCATCGTGCCGAAACCTTACTTGTTTCGTCTTCTATCTAACTCGAAATGATGCCAAACAAAATGACAAAACGAGAGAAGTAAATCTTTATTTGATTTACTTTATCCTTTAAGCATGCTATGTCATATCTATCTCATTTCGTCAGGAATCTCTCTCCGAAACATTGGAACTCTATATCTTTGTGTGTCTAGTATTTCACACATGGAATATGTGTCAGACCCCGGTATGAACGACCACTCCTGCTTATAAATAGACACATCTTGCAATAGAATGCCCATTCCATTTCGTGACAATGGACAGGGGAAAGAAAAAGATCTCTTCCTCTGTATCCTTGCCGAAGAAAGACCTGAACGAAGTTCAAGAGATGTTCAAATCTCTTAGTCTATCTACTGAACACAGAGAAAGCTCTCAAGGTTCAGCTACTAAGAAGCTTCCCTAAACCCTTCTCCAGAATGTTCGCCCTCCGCTTGGTCCATCACCCCCTACAATGGATGCCTTCAAAACTGATCCATCTTATCTGATGTGGAAGAATTTTTGTGAAGAACAGATCCAAGAGCTAGAAGACCAGCTGAGAAAGAGGGTGAAGAGAGCTTAAGGATAACTTTATCTCATGTAAACCGAGAGATGATTGTAGTCTTATTCATGTTCATCTATGTAATAATTCATCTCTATGTCTCATGTGCTCTATGTCTCTATAAATGAATCGTGGTCACGAAATCGTATTAACCGAGACTTTCTTCAGTAGGTCACAGCATGGTATTCTTTATTTAACTCTCGTGACAAATCACATGTATCTTAGATGATAAATGCACTAATGGTTACTTGGAAATGAGAGGTTATACCCTAACCGTTCGATGAAGTTGATCGGAGTGATCGTGTGGCCACAAACCTCGGCCCACTACCCCATGTTTCTCTGTCAGTCGATGCGACAGGCATTTAATGCGGGTGTTTTGCACTCGAGTGTTTTTCTCTCTCATATTTAATTGGGAATGATCAAAATTGATCTGATACTAGCCTTATCAGACTCACTTACCATATCATATTACCTTATTGGTAGAATGGGAAGAAACACACTCATTCAAATTCAACTACAGGTCGGGTTACCCGGGTAAATATCTTTGCCCATGTGAAAACCCATTGAAAAACCCTCCCCTTTATAACCTAACCCACCGTCTCCTTGTCACTTTCCCAACCTCTGCAAGACTTCTCTAATACTCTAAACCTTGAAACACATTCCTCCCAAACCTTGAAACACATTCCTCCATAGCCATGGCAAAGAAATCCAAAGCATCAGCATCGGACTCAGAACCAGAAACCCCAACAACAATGGTGATACCCAACTTTCCAACCTCTGACATCAACTTTATTGAGTCAAGGGTTCCATTCATCATAGGTGGATGCATGTGGGATGCTCATGGTTTTATTGAGTATGTCCTTGACAGATCATTTGGAGAGAATGTCATTCATCTTTTGAAAGAGAGTGGGATGTACAATTTTGTAACTCACCTATACACATATTGGTTTCCGGTGGACGTCGCTCAGTTCTACCTAAACGGAAGAGTATCCGCCAACGGTTCGGAACTCTCATCGGAACAGAATGCATTCTATGAGAAGATCAAGAATAAACAAGGACCAGCATCAACTGAGATCACCTGGCCCTTAAAGAAGAAATGGCTTTGCTTGGACTACGAATTCCCTGTTGACATATTCAACAAAATCGTAGAGCACAAAACTTCGGGGACAGACGATGTAACCAAGGACAAGTTGAAAATGTTGCAAGCCTTTCTTGGGGAATACAAAGTGGACTGGTCGAAAGTTGTCTTCAATCAACTTAGATACGCCATCACAAATGGATGATCGTCACCAGGAGATATTACAACGAAAATTGGCTATGGCTTTCTTGTAAGCCATCTTCTCGCCACAAAGAAAGTTCCCCTACACGCTGGAGTCTCACCTGGACGAAAGGTATGTCACATGAAATCCAAACCCTCAGGATATGACAAGCAGAAAGCACAAGAGCTTGGATTGCCATTGGACTCGGTGAAAAAGGAACGAAAGTCCAAAAGAGCCAAAGAAACTGATGATGATATGCCCAAGGCCAAGAGATCGAAGAAAGACAAAGACTCCTCCGCCCCAGAGATGAAAGTTCAATCTACTGCTCAATCTGAACCCGAGAAGAAAGCTTCATCAGCAATTCAACCCGAATCTGAGAAGAAAGTTCCATCAGCAGTTCAACCAATTCTCGAGACTACAAAACCTGAACCCTTAGCTGATACCAAGAAAGAAGACCCTCACAAGACGCCCCAAATTTCAACAACAGAACCTGTCATCATTGATGACTCTTCTGAAGACGAAGAGGTTGCACTATCCAGCCTTGTACAAATATCGAAATGTCACTTTCGGCCTACTATTGCAAAAGCCAACGAGATTTTGGCAAGATTATCTCCCCCTCCTCAATCAAGCTTGAGAGAAAATCTGAAAAAGAAACCTGCATCTTCTTAGGGGGGAAGACACTTTACAGAAAAAATACCTATCCCGCAAAACCTCAAAGAAGCGAAAGTCGAGATCTGCAAGTACAAAGAGCTTAAGGCAAACTTCCTTACCACAAGAACCCATCGCAGCAGAGCAACTCCACACGAGTTTGACACAAGAACCAGCTGAGGTGGAGAAGGATGATCACAGTGCTCCAATTCCCACTGACCACTTAAGTCTCCCACAAGAACCTGGCTTGCCAAAAGAGACGACAGAGGTGGTCACTGATCAAATCATTCTCTCAACACCTGTTGACGAAACTTCCCTCCCACAAGAACTTACTGATGCAGAACAGAATGTTCTTATTCTGACACAAGAACCTGCTAAAGTAGACGAGGACGAAAGCTTGCCACAACCTTCGGATCACTTTAGTCTCCCACAAGAACCTGGTCAGCCAGCCGAGACGAGAGAAGTGATTCCACAACCAGAAGAAAATTTGAAAGAAGTTCTACCTGCGCCCGAAGCTATTCAAAACTTTGAAGAACCGAATGCAGTTGTACCTATACATGAAGTGGCCCAAAATCCTCCTCCAACGAGAGATCAACTGCTTCGCCTTTCAATCGGGAGTGATTTCCTGAGAGTAATGAAATGGCAAAAATGGCGGACCTCACTTCTGCACACATTTCTTGAAACCTTTGATGAGATGAAGGACGAGGAGGACTTTGCTCTTGAATGGTTAGGCACACGAGATGTGTACAATGCGACACGACTCGAAACCATAAAGTTCCCATCTGCTTTGAATTAAACAAGCCGCCTTTGGATCCAGCCTTCAAAGAAGAGATGAAAGAATTCAGATATGTTCTTCTCCTATCCAAAGTCAAAACCGAATTAGAGAGGACTCATCAGAATGATCCGGCTTGTAATATCAGCGGATCCAAAAACGAAGAAGGTAAGGAAATTACCATTGTCGCTGAAAACGAAAGTAGTGCGGATATATACCTCAGGTGCCGATGAAGATGATGATGAGCACAAGGATGATGATGAAGATGACGATGAGCACAAGGATGATGATGAAGTTGATAATGAGGACAATGATGCTAATGATGAAAACAATGGTGATGATTCAGGTGATGAAGTTGACAATGACGAAGACAAAGATGATGAAGAAGACACTAAAAATGAAGGAGATAATGAGAAGAAGGATGATGAGAAGAAGCATGATGACGAAGACAATGATGATGATGACTCAGGTGATGATCATGGCAATGATAACAAATTGGACTATGATAGTGAGTCTCCTATCTTAGGCGACACCATGCTCATACCTGACAGATCTCCCACACCGAATCCACCTCCACAAAAGGATAATCCCTCTCGTGATCCATCTCAATCAATGCCTCCACCACGACAAAGAGAAGCCGTTGCCAATCAAGCTCGTGATGACAACATGGATGCATCACTTCGTGATGAAAACCTGGGAGCATCACCTCAAGCCCAGCCATTCATATTTGAACATAGAAGTGCTCTTCGAAAACCTATGCGTCCCTATCCCGACCAAGAGCCCACCATCGAGTATCTTAGTCCCGAGCACATCATGCATCAGGTGTTGAATGCACTCGTTAATGCTGAACTCATTCATCAACAATATTTGGTTCATCGAGAAAAAGACAGCCGAAACATAGCAGATTTATCTGTCAAAGAGGACCATCTGATGCAAACTGTAACACCCCTAAAATTTAAAATTTTCAAAGCTTATGAAATAAAGGTAGTATTATCCTTAAATCCCAAAACAGAGCATACTAAACATAAGAGTTTGGGGTGTTATGCCACATCTGAGCTGGAGAGCTCAGATGCACAAGCTATACAAACTAAATATCCTCAAAGTAATGTCAATACATCATCATGGCACGCAGGCCGAAAGGAAAACTATCTATCTAAGCTTCGGTCCTCTAGCGCGCTGGTAACACACTCCAACGCGTTAAAATACAATATAGATATATATATATATATACATATATATATATACATACATATATATATACATATATATATATATATATATATATACATATATATATGATATATGATATATATATATATATATATATATATATATATATATATATATATATATAGGAAAACCATTTTGAAGCCGGAAGATATATACTTAGGAGACTCTAGGTTTAAAAACCGAGAATAAACTCAACAGGTAGGGACAAACACATTCAACAGTTATAATCACGCATATAAAGATACTAGCATGTATCCTAAGGTCACAAGATTATTTTACGACATTCATATCATTATTCAATCATCATATCAATCACATAAACACACTTTGGTGGTGCCGCAGGACCCTTCACGCGCCCATACACGAAGCGCCAGTGCATATAGCTCTGGCATGGCCACGAAGCACCCTGCCTCGTATCGCAAGCCGAAGGGGTCGATCGCAACCGACCGATGAGCCGCAGCTCATCATAATGTTTGATCGCAACCAAACAGTGGACCGCAGCCCAAAAGTGTATTTCTGATCGCAACCAGATTATGAACCGCAGCTCATGTAAAACGTTTGATCGCAACCAAATGGTGGACCGCAACCCTATATAATATTTATATACCTGACCGATCGCAACCGGCCAGGTTAACAGTTGGTATGGTTCTTAACCCATCCAACTGCCCGTATAGCCAATTTGATCGCAACCAAATTGGGGTATCATGCACACATAACACATAGCAAGCACATGCAACCCACAGTAGCATATTGGGAAAGGGGCGAAAACGTATAAATAATCTGATGCATGGTCATCCACATACTAGGAATATTCCTAAGGGGTTCATACATCTTTCGCCTAGGTCAACGGGATACCAATTCAACTAGCATGCAATACATAAGACTCTTTTATCCTACGAATGGTACCCGAAACATCAAACTAGACTTAGGAACGATACACGGAGTCCGTTGGGACACCACGAGGGTTGGGGAAACATTAAACGGGAAAAACCACCTTCCCACTTGGGAATTTCCAGCGGGTGGTCGGCGAGACTACTGGGCAGCGGGTGCCCGGTGGGCAGTCGCCTGCCCGCTGCCGGCGACGCCCTTTAGGGGCAGCGGGTAGGTGGAGGGTTCCCCTACCCCCACCTACCCCCCACCGACTCTTTTTCAATACTTGGGTCTCGGGATCTTTTGTGGAACCCGAAACCATGTTTAGACACTTTTAAACGCAACCAACAACACCACGTAGTCAAATAACGGATCCAAACCAAGAATCACATTGAACATATCCTAAAATGACTTCTAAACATAATCAATACCCGAACATGCAAATTCCCACCCAAATTTACCAAGAATATCACAATACGAAATTCATGATTCAACCTAGGGCTCTACCCATATTTAAATCACAAAATCATACTTTATCTTTAAAATCAAGAACATCAAGATTTATCAAGAATCAACACACAATTATCAAGATCATCTTATAATCATCATGATTATCAAGATCAACACATAAGATCATCTCATCAATATCAAGATCATATCATAATCATCATAAAAGATTTATCAAGACATGAGCATAGAGGAGGGGCCAAAGAAGAAGATTATAGCAAGGAAAATAGGTTTTGTTGTGACATGGGTTACCTCTTAGCCTTAATTCGAATCCTTGGCTATAAAGGGTCTTTCTCTAGGATCTCCTCTTCTTGATTTCTCCTATGTGAATTCTTGGGAATTCTTGTGTGGTGAAAGCTATTGTGGTGTGGATTCTAGGTGCCTCCTATGTCCTTATATATATATCTAAGAGTCATAATTAGGGTCTTAATGTTATGGGTTTACTAATTCTATTTCTTATAGGACTAAGTGTTTAGTTTAGGGATAAGGGTCCATGGTCTATGGTGGACCCTTCCTAATTAATTAAGGGAATTTAATTCTCTTTTTAAGGGTAAGTAATTAAATAATTAGTTTGGGTTAGAGGCTGTAACACGGGGTGTTACACCCTCCCCCCCCTTACAAGAGGCTTCGTCCCCGAAGCTGGTACGTGGATCCATTTTTTCACCCCTGGACGTCACGTATTTTGGCCTCCTGATTAGGATTTGTGGCTTCACGTGTCGTTTTGCTGGGGGTATGATGGCGTTTGGTGCAGTGGTATTTGGAAAGTTTGGGTCTACCTTGGTTTCCTGCTCCCGAGCTAGATGCCCCGCGCGTGCCCAACATGGTCTCGATTGCTGCCACTCTTTGATCTAATGCGTGCATTGCGCTGATTAGGGATGAGAACCCTTCATCCATGATTTGGTTTTGCCGGGTGAGTTGCGCGAGGATGAGCTCATTGATGATTCTTTCATCTTGGCCTCCCGGATTCCCTCTCTCTTGTGCGGGTGCAAGTGGGTTAGGCTTGCCATCTTCCTCCTGTTCCTCTTGTTCTTCTTGTTCCCCAAATTCTTGCATTGCCCGCCTTAGTTTATTGTTGGAGATTTCCAACTGATCAACCAACTCTGGTCGTTCTTCTGTGGACTTTAGGCAAACCTCCTCGAGGGTGATGTATTGACCCCCTCCGATATGGTTGATGTCATTACGGCGGAGGTTCTGGGCATTGAAAATCATCCCCCTTACGGGTTTGATTTCCGTGTGGCTTAGGTCCACTCCTTTCTTTTCCATGATCCAACTTAGGATCATCCCGTAGGATAGACTAAGCCCGTTGCTAGACTTGCAAAACTCCATGTGTTTTAGCATAAGGGCGGGTAGGTTGAACTTGACTTTGTTTTTCAGAAAGTAGGCAAAGGTGCACTCTAGGCTCCCCACGTCCTTGCTCTTGTTGTTCGTGGGAAACAAGCTGTCAGTTACAATCATGACTAGCAATTTATGTTTGGCGGTTAGCCATTTCCTGTTTGGCTGGGTAGCCGAGGTGAAGCCTTCTTCCTTTCCTAGTAGGTACCCGAGGTAATCCTTGTACCCCGTGCCTTAGGTACCGATCCATGCCTTCCGGTCGTAGTCTGACACACCCGTGGTGGTCAGTTTCAGGAGTTTGGCCAAGCAGCCTTCAGAGAGCATTATTTCTTTGCTCCGGACCTTGGTGATGATTTCCAACTTGTCACACCGTTTGACGGCTACTAAGTGGTGATAGAATTCTTTCACCAACTCGGGGTACGTATCTCCCTTGATTGTGAGATAGGTATCCAAAAGCCCTTGGAAGTTAAGCATATCGACCAATTCCGGAGAGAATTGGTCGGGTTCGAGGGCTTTACCTCCGATCACCGTGTAGTCGGCATCGTTCCATTCCGTGGTTGGGATCCCAACGGGCTTCTTCGGCATTGAGAGATTCTTCAAGGTGGTATTTTTCCCAGTGATGTTTTTCCGGCGAGGCTCCGGCGAAGACTTTCCGGCATCGAGGCGGCGATGTGGCTTGACTCGGGCGGTGTTCCTGTTTCGACGGTGAAGGCGGGGCTTGGAGGTGTCGTGCGGCGGTGTGCGACAGTGGGGTGCAGCCGGGCGTGCGACGGGCGGTAACAGCGATGCGGGTGGCTTCCGGGGTGGCGACGGCAGGCGCACGGTGGTGGTGTTGACCGGGTGGTTGTCGGCGGTCGCTGGCGGGGTGAGTCGCTGTGGTGTTCGGGTGGTGCCGGCGGCGTGGAGAGGGGAGAGAGAGAGGAAGAGAGGGAGAGTGAAAGAGGGGAGGAAGAAGAATGGTTTTTTATTTGGGGGGGGTTTTGTGGGTCTTAGGGACTTAGGGGGGTTTAAGAAGGGAGTGTTCCCTTAAGGTTTCAAGAAATACTCATAGCCCAGTAGTTAAGATTTTGATCTTATAAGTGAGAGGTCTAAGGTTTCATTCCCGTTAATAGCATTAATCTTCTTTGTTGTGCATTCCTTTGGATCTATTCCCATTTCTCTTTTGACCCAAAGAGGCAAGAGGTTTGACCGGTTTTCCTTGTAGAACTTTTGCCTCCGTCGTGTGTTGATTCTTTTTTTCCTTTTTTTTTTTTTTTTTTTTTGCGCCTTATGGGTTCTTGGGGGAAACGTTTAGTCCCTTTTTTCATGCTAACTTAATTGACTTGTCTTTTATTTATAATAATTTCTAAGTAACTAAATTAAACAAGTGGTTTCACTACAAGGGTGATTTACAGGGGTTCACTGATCATCCTAGACAGAATTCTTCTCCTTGGTTTTCTTACGATTGGTTTGCAGGATCCTCGTCTCCTGGGGCCACGTTTTCTTCGTTGAAGTTGTCCTCGTTCTCAAGATCGGCTTGAGTGCGGCTCATGACGAATACTTTTCTGGGAGCACCGTAGTTCCCTTAATTGTTTACGCCCCCGTGTTGGCCCATGATTGTAGGGCGCGAGTTCGGGGGTTGAGTGCACTGGAAGGACTTGTGTCTTTCTCCCCCACAATTGAAGCATCGCTAGGGGTTTCCCATGCAGTCCTTGCCTCTATGGTCTTTGTTGCATCTTCGGCAAAGGAAGGGCCCCGTATTAGTTTCGTTGTTTCTTGGGGTGGCCCTTGGCCAGCTGGATTGCTTGGCATTGTGTTGGTGTCGTTCCTCGTTCTTTTCACAGGTGGTGCCCCACCTCCCGTGTTCCTTTTATGAATATGTTCCTGGACTCCGCGTTGTAGCAGTTGGATTCGATAGAGGTTGGCGGCACTGGAGTAAGCTTCGTTGAGGGTTTGGGGTCCACTCACGATTAGGGCTTTTCGGGTTACGAAGTTGAGGCCCGACACAAACCTTTCTATCTTGGTCGTCTCTGTAGGGACCAATTCGGGTGCGAAACGGGCCAGTTCGAGGAACCGTTTGTGGTACTCCATGACAATGGTCCTCCCTTGCTTTAAGTGGAGGAATTCCTCGTACATGGTTGCTCTTACGTGTGCAGGGTAGAACCGTTCTTGGAGTAGGGTCTTTAGGCTTTCCCAGTTGAATCCTGGTTCTTGTCTGTAAGTTGTTCCCTCGCGGATCCACCAGAGGTCGGCCTCGTGTCCGAAGTAGAACGAGGCTATTTCTACGCGGCATTTTTCTGGGCATTCCACTAACCCGAGGATTTTGTCGAAGGTTCAAATCCTTTCTTCGAGGATTGCGGGGTCCTCTTCCCCCGAGAAGATGGGTGGCCGATGATTTGAGACTTGCCGAGCGACATCCAAGTTCCCATTTGGCTGTGGTGGTGGTCGGTTGTTATTACGGAGAACTACGTCGCGCAGTGTCTGGGCGACCTGAGTTAGTTGCTGTAGAGTCTGAGCCAAAGGATCGTGAGTGGTGGGTTCGGGGGTCCTTGATTGCCTTCTGTTTGGTGTCATTCCGATGGTCTAAAGGGCCAATGTTTATTGTAATGACGAGTTAGTGTGTTGCACCCTTACCTTCATGCGATAAGCATAGGTGAAGTTCTTTAAATTTAAGTGCAGAATAGAGTGAGGGGGAGGTTAAGTGATGATAGATAGGCTCACAATCTCACCGCGCGTCCTAAGATTCCTGGATCCTATGTTCCTAAATACCTAGAGTTCAAGCTTAATGTCCTAAGGTCTTTGTCTTAAGAATCTTATCCTAGGGTCAAACTTAGGCTCTGATACCAACTGTAACACCCCTAAAATTTAAAACTTTTGAAGCTTATGAAATAAAGGTAGTATTATCATTAAATCCCAAAACAGAGCATACTAAACATAAGAGTTTGGGGTGCTATGCCACATCTGAGCTGGAGTGCTCAAATGCAAAAGGCTATACTAACTAAATATCCTCAAAGTAATGTCAATACATCATCATGGCACGCAGGCCGAAAGGAAAACTATCTATCTAAGCTTTTGTCCTCTAGCGCGCTCCGGAGTCTACTCATCTGTGCCTGAAAGCCAAATATATCTGTTCAGCGAATAATGTTGGTAACCCACTCCAACGCGTAGAAATACAATATATATATATATATATATATATATATATATATATATATATATATATATATATATATATATATATATATATAGGAAAACCATTTTGAAGCCGGAAGATATATACTTAGGAGACTCTAGCTTTAAAAAACCGAGAATAAACTTAACAGGTAGGGACAAGCACATTCAACAGTTATAGTCACGCATATAAAGATACTAGAATGTATCCTAAGGTCACAAGATTATTTTTCGTCATTCATATCATTATTCAATCATTATCTCAATTACATAAACACACTTTGGTGGTGCCGCAGGATCCTTCACGCGCCCATACACGAAGCGTCAGTGCATATAGCTCTGGCATGGCCCCGAAGCACCCTGCCTCGTATCGCAACACGAATGGGTCGATCGCAACCGACCGATGAACCGCAGCTCATCATAATGTTTGATCGCAACCAAACAGTGGATCGCAGCCCAAAAGTGTATTTCTGATCGCAACCAGATTATGAACCGCAGCTCTTGTAAAACGTTTGATCGCAACCAAACGGTGGACCGCAACCCTATATAATATTTATATACCTTACCGATCGCAACCGGCCTGGTTAACAGTTGGAAGGGTTCTCAACCCATCCAACTGCCCGTACCGCCAATTTGATCGCAACCAAATTGGGGTATCATGCACACATAACACATAGCAAGCACATGCAACCCACAGTAGCACATTGGGAAAGGGGCGAAAACGTATAAATAAACATATGCGTGGTGATCCACATACTAGGAATATTCCTAAGGGGTTCATACATCTTTCGCCTAGGTCAACGGGATACCAATTCAACTAGCATGCAATACATGAGACTTTATCCTACGAATGGTACCCAAAACATCAAACAAGACTCAGGAACGATACACGGAGTCCGTTGGGACACCACGAGGGTCGGGGATGTAACACCCCGTGTTACGGCCTTCAATCCTGAATTAATTATTTAATTAACTCCGTTAATAATAATTAAAAAGGATTTAATTTGATTAGGATTCCCTTTAATTAATTAATGTGGTCCACCATGGATTGTGGACCCTTGCCTAAACTAGAGTTTTAAGCCTATTAGGAATAAAGAGGGTAAACCTTTTACTAGTCAGATTCTAATTAGGAATCCTAGACCTATATATCTATTGGGAATAAAGAAAGTAAGCTTTTATTATTCAGATTATGATTAGGATTCCTGATTCTATAAATAGGGGATTAGAGAACAATTAGAACCCTTACCACTCATAGTTATATTACACAAAAATATTCCCGGGAAATTCCCCACCACCGAGCCTAGGGAGATCAAGCGGATGGAAATCTTATAGAAGAACCTTAATAGCCATGGGAGGATTAATTAAGGCTAACAGGTAACCCATGTCTCAACAAAACCTATTTTCTTTGCTATAATCTTCTTGTTTGGCTCCCTATTTTATACTCGTGTCTTGATGAAATCTTCTATGATAATTGTGATATGATCTTGATAATTGTTGAGATGATTTTATGTGTGATCTGGATGATCTTGATGATGACAAGAGGGTCTTGATAATTGTGTGTTAATTCTTGATAAATCTTGATTTTAAAGATAGAGTATGATTTTGTGATTTAAATCTGATTAGAGCCCTAGGTTGAATTGGTAATTTGTATTGTGATGTTCTTGATATATATTTGGGTGAGAATTCGCATGCTCGGGTGATAATTATGTTTAGAAGTCATGTTAGGTTGTGTTCTACGTGATTGTTGCTTTTGATCCGTT